ATATATATATATATATATATATATATATGAGAAGAGCTGTATAATGTTATATTACAACATCCAGGTGTTATGCCGTGTCTAAGTTACTTCTTTCTCCAAATTTCTGATAATTAGAGTAAGTCAAAAAACCCTGCCAACCTGCAGCCAGCTAATACAGACAAAAATAATTACTCTTTCCTTGCCTTTCTAGGGTTGTACAAAATTAAAACTGTATTTGAAATAAACTGTCTCCTTGGGAGGCAGAGATATTTGGAAATTTACACTTCCTCAGAGCTTGGGGTTGTTGGGGGTTTTTTTGCACAAGATCTGTGAACTTTAGGGAAAGGGTGGGTGGCTCGGTTTGGCTTCCTTCTGCCCACTCACTTGTTCAGAAATATGGGAGTGACTTCTAGATCGGTTTAATATGGTCTTGACTATTAAATAGCCATCCCTAAACTATTGAGAGTCGTAAACCTCTGTTAGGCAAAATTTGCGCTGGCCTAAAATTTTAAGTGCCTGAAAAAGTAAATTGAAGAGTGCCATAACCAGCTTTAAAAGTTGCTCTCTTACAGGCTCTTTTTCTTTCTCTCTGTCTGTCTGTGCGTCTCTGTCACTCTCTCCCTCTCTCTTACTCTTACTAGTTTAACTTCAGAAACTGCCCGCCTATTTGAACTCCCCAACCCAGCAGCCGGGTAACTTGAGAAATTGGTTGGAAGCCGTTTGGCTCAAGCAGGTTTTTCATTAAACAAGGAAAATCTCTCCCAGAGAAAGAGACAGAGAGAGACTCCATGTGACCCCCGGGGCTGTGCCCGGGCGTGCGAGGCTTCCCAAGGAAAGTTCTCCGCGTGGTTGCAATTAAAATGGTTTTATTTGATAGTCATAAAGATAATCTTTACTTAAGTCTAAAGCCAAAGCAAACAGGGTCCGGGAAGCCCCAAATCAAGAGGTAATAACTCGGTCAAGATAAGCAGTCTGGGATTTCATCGGGGCTCTTTCCGGGCGGGGCGGGGATGGGGTGCACCGTTATCAGGTTTAAACTAATGATCTTGATTTTTCTTCCTACATGTTATTAAACGCGGAACAACGCTGCCCGGGGACAGCCTGCCTGAGTGCCGGCTTGGAGGGCTTGGCTCCAGCCGCCTCACCTGCACTGCTTACCCGGGCGCTTATTTTTTATGGGGAGTGAAGGTGGCGGGAGGCCCCCATGGGCCCATTTCTGGCATAGACCCAGCGGGCTTTAGCACCGCGACCTCGGCTCCGGATGCTCATCCTCTGCCACCCCTGCGCTCAGGTGTCTTCCGGAGATGCTCTTTGGAGAACTCCCTGGTGACAAGATCAAAGCGTAGGTTCAACCTCCCCCAGGAAATGTTAATTGAATTCTTCCCTCTTGGCTGAAAGGATGGAAGAAATTGAAGGGAATCGCTCCTCTCTCGCGTAACTCAGCGACAGGAGAGCCAGGGTCGGAGCCAAGGTGGTGGCTGAAATTGGAGAAGACCTGCTGGGCGTCAACACTCAGGAGGGCTGCGATGCAGCTTCGGGACCCCCGGGGGACTTTGCCAGAGCGTTGCCCCTTGGTGGAAAGCGTAGTGATTTGTCACAGAGTGGGGAGAAAAGCCCGAAAGCTGCCGGTGGGACCCACGGATTGAATGAAGCCAGTCATGTGCTCGCTTGCCTTTGCCCCGGATCACAGGAACTAGCAGCTTTCCCCATTCTCAAGGCTGCTAAAACCCCTCGTATCCCTTTGATCTCTCCCGGGAGTCCCAGATGCAAGCAGAGGCCAATGTCTTCTTCAGCTGTGGTCTAGCCACAGCCTTCCAGCAGCTCTGGCAGGTACTAATGTGTTTACTTAGGTGTGCAAGGTTCCCAGAGCTCGGGGGAGCCAAAAGTTTAGCACAGTGTCCGGAGTCCCAGTAACGCAGGTCCGACTGGGGTGGTGTCTGGGGGCGGCTGGATGAAGGGAGAGGAGATTATTACCTATGTCGTGGGTTTCGTGAAACTTGTCCCGATCCAGCAGCAAGGTTGAATTCACGATACACAAATGAATCTTGCAAACTAATCTTAATATGCAATGGTCCAAATACTAAACTCTGTATATTAAAGGCAAAACTCCCCTGGCTTCAATCGAAGTTTGCCTGAATATTTCAGAACAACGACCAATTTTCAGCCTATTTTCTTGGCTAAGACTCTTAACTTTTTTTTAAAAACTACTGAAGGACAAAACCCTGGATACCTTTCGTGGCAGGGTGAGCTCTATTAACCCCTGATCCTTGAATTTATTCAGGCAAGCTCAATGGGAATTTACTTCGGTGAGGGCTGCGCTGTATGGCTGTCGATCTCAGATGTCTTCATAGTTCAGATGTGGTTTTTATTTAATACTTTAATACTGCTTTACTATGGTTAAGAACACACATGTTGTATTACAACACCCCACAGTCGCTTACATGAATCTACCCCAAAGCATTAGGCACTGGGTCAGGGCTGTAAGGACTGTAGCCAGTGCTAATATTTCCATCATATTTTGTCCATAAACCTTGTGTTCATTACGTTTTGTCCATAAACCTTCATTTCGTTTCTAATCCTGTGGCTGCGATGCTAATGACACTGGATTCGGATATACCGAGGTAGTTAGACCCTGCGTTTTCTCAGCTTAATCTATAAAACATTTGTTTTCCCCTCTTCTTTTAACCATTATTTTGTTTTGATTTTCATTGTGAAGCAACTCGAGCCATTTCAGAGGGAAACGAGAAGAGTTCTGAAATAAAATCCGCTCCGCAATAATATTGCCTTAAAAAAAGCTGGTTTTGCTCAGATTTTTAAAAAATCGCAAACTATTCCAAGAATGTGTTTGTCAAGATATGTCTTTAAAAGTAAGTATAACAGCCTGGCTCCTCTGGGATGGGGGACTCCTTGGGGATGCTGCCTTCTTTCCGTCTGTGAAGATTTCCCCCCGACTTAAAAAAAAATCTGTTAACAAGAGTTTGTTAATTGTGTCTAATGCTCTCTGAGCTCTAGCTTTCAGCACGTCGGTCCCTCTCTCAGAAGTGCAGCAGCCTCCGTTTCCCCTCGCATCAGCCTCGTTAACCAAGCTTGTAGTTTGTGTTTTCTCTGCCTTTTTTTCCCCAGTTCCACTCGCCTGCTGCACTTTTGCAAATTTGTTTTGAGATCACTTTACAAAAGAGCCCTGGACCCTCTAAGGGATACCAATTACAGCTTTTCCTGACTGACAGCATCCTCCCCCCTCCCTCCCCAAGCAGAAGGGAAACAAATCTGAATCCCCCAAAGACCCCTGGAAAAGCCCAGTCCCAAACCCTCTGGACTGAGAGTTAAAAAGTCGAAGGCCAGAGTACCCTGGCAATATGTTGTGCCTCGTACCAAAGGGCTTTGGCATTCAGCTGCCTACTACCTACTTGGAGAGGAACCCCTGAAAGGTGATCAGAACAGTGTCGCTAGCGCGCGAAAGAGCAAGTTTATTTGTGCACAAAGCACAAATCTGTAAACAGGTCTAGCTTAGCCAGCACCAATGTACTAAATCAAAAGCTCTGTGCGCCCCAACCCAGTAAAGTCTTCAAGTTACTGCTGACCGACCCCGCTTTATCTGGCTGCTGATTTCTGAGAAAAACAATTGGGAACTGAGATGTTTCCACCGGGGGCCGTGGCCAAGTGAATGTCAGCCCGGACTTGGATGGAGCAAGCTGAAATGCAGCGCTCGCTGTAACTGCATTCCTTGATCAGCTTTCTGACTTTGGTACAGGATTCATTTCAAAGGGGCTCTCCCTCTTTATGGCCCCAAATAAACGGGAGCAGGGCAGACGTAGCCGTTTTCCAGCGCTTGGCTAATGCTTTGAAGCAGAACCAGATAATCGGAGAAAGCGAGGGTTGGAAGGGACCCCAGGAGGTCACCCAGTGCAACCCCCTGCTCAAAGCAGGACCGGTCCCAACTAGATCAAGCAGAACTTCAGCCGTGAAATAGGCCGTTTTTGTGCTGAAGTGAAACGTCCCTGTTAAGAAAGAGCCGCCCCCCCTGCACACGCTGATCTAGGCAGAGAGCAGCGGCCATAAAGAGAGGGGCACAGCTTTTCGAGGTGCCTGGCAAACCTGAAGTCTCTTCATGTGTTTGGCAAAAGGCAGCGGTTTCACCCGACCTTGCCTTTCCCCAGGGCTCCCTGCCAGCTTCTCCTTCCAGCAGGGTTTGGACGAGGCACGTGGATCAAGAAGGGTTGTCGGTTGTACCGTGTTGGTCTAAGGACACGGACAGACAAGGGTCTTTGGGTAGATATGATATCTTTGATCAGACCAGCTAAATAGTAGGAAAAATTGTTCTTTGCAAAGTTCTTTGGGTAGATGTGATACCTTTTATTAGACTAAGTAGTTGGGGAAATTGTTCTTTGGACACTTTCGGGCACACATGCCCTTCTTCAGGCATTGGGAAACTGTTGGTATTCTCCCCAAGGGAGCGGCCACACGCCAGCAGGCTTTCCCTCTACCTGAAGAACCGTGTTTGTGCCTGAAAGCTTGCAAAGAACAGTTTTCCCAACTATTTAGCTGGTCTAATAAAAGACATCATAGATGCTTTTCAAGCAAATCCCCGGACGCCAAGTCTCCCGTTGTACTCGGCCTTGGTGAGCCCACAGCTGGTCTAGTTTTGGGCTCCACAATTCAAAAAGGACGTGGAGAAGCTTGAGAGGGTGCAGAGGAGAGCCACGCACATGATCAGAGGGCAAGAAAACAGACCTTACAACGACAGGCTGAGAGCCATGGGGCTCTTTAGCCTGGAAAAGCGCAGGCTCAGGGGTAATCTGGTGGCCACCTATAAGTTTATCAGGGGTGACCACCAGGATCTGGGGGAACATCTGTTCACCAGAGAGCCCCAAGGGATGATAAGATCCAACGGTCACAAACTCTGCTACAACCGATTCAGGCTGGACATAAGGAAGAACTTCCTCACTGTCCGAGCCCCCCAGGTCTGGAATAGACTGCCGCGGGAGGTGGTTTAAGCTCTTTGAACGCCTTCAACAAGATACGCATCACATTTGGGTGCTTGCCTTGCTGGGATCCTACGATCCCCGCTGACTTTCTGCCCCTGCGGCAGATCCTTCGGGGTCCCTTCCAGCCCAAATGCCTATGAAATCTATGGAATATCACATCTACCCAAATACTTGGAAAAAATGTTCTTTGCGCAGTTTAGTTGGTCTAATAAAAGATACCACAGCTACCCAAATAACTTTGTAAAGAACAATTTTTCCAACTATTTAATTGGTCTAATACAAGATATCACTCTACCCAAAGAACCTTGTCTGCCTGGATGAAGAAGTATATGGGTTGTAGCCGCGTTGGTCTAAGGGCATAGGCAGGCAAGGTTGTTTGAGTAAATCCGATCTTTTACTACAGCAACTAAAATAGTTGGAAAAATTCTTCTTTGCAAGCTTTCGGGTACAAATACCCTTGGTCAGGCGGGGGAAGCGTCAGGCTGGAGCAAGAAGGGAACTTGCAATGTCCGCTTCTCCTGGAGAAAGGTTAGGAAAAAAAAAGAAAAAGAAAAGGCCTCTCTGAGTGCACAGAATAACTGGCCCAGCCTCTGAATGGCTGAGTCCGTTGAGCTTAACCCAAGCACCACCCTTCCCCCCCCCC